AAAAAACTGTAGAAAAACAGTGAGAATCTCTCCTCAACCGAATAGTTCGGATTAAGATTGAATAATTAACAGCAGGTCCTCGGGTTCGAAATGATATTGAAAAATTGATTGCAGGTTTTTGGGACTTTCTACGATGTCGTCCAATCATTACTGGGACACGGCATTCGTCCTTGCAACGGTTGTATTCTGCCTTCTGTACCGAACAATCGGTGAGCTGTAATCTTCCACTGATTCCGATTTCACAGAGAAAATTAACACTTTACCGATTGCTATATTCAGGTGTACTTGCTCAGTGTTTCTTCCTAAACAAATTCCGTCACAAAAAGTTTACAAAGGTACGACAGTTTGAGTGCATCACTACATATCAATACTAACTGATAAAGAAAGTAAAAAAAATAGTTATTGATTGGTCCTGTTTTATTAGTCAGGAGGGAGGTAGCTCTTAGGCAAATGGCCGCACGTGCACGTGTGCGGTCTGGAAGTGAAATGCCGTATCGGCTACCGTTCAACTCAATGGAGCTTTTCACCTTGCGAGGATCTTAAACTGGAACCACATTCGTTCGGGAGAATAAGAACACTCCATTGTACATGGACTAGCCCCGAAACTCATTGTGTAGCCCTCTTTCAGTAAGCCTGAATTGGAGGGGAGTGCGTGCTGCATTCCACCAACGGTGAAAGCTCTTCCTTTACCCTTTTATAATACCTGTTCAGTTGTTATCAATTCAGTCACCAATTATTCGTTACAATAGCGCCCAATATTCCGACCCTGATCAACGACGCTGTGAAGCGCCCCTCTTTTTCCATTTTACTGCCTATTTCTATACTTAGTGGGGTCTGAATTTTTTCGACCAGTACATGCTGTGAGGTAAACTGAGGTTGTCTTTCGCTTTTTTGTCGGACGAATCCTATCCATTGGCTGACTCCGTAGGCATGTAGGGCTTGGCTGTCCTGCGCAGGGGCCAATCTGAGACTTGACTCCCAACATTACGCACGGTAGTTAGCTCCCACTAGTCAGTAGAACATCTCCGCCTCGCTGATTATTGCTGACCCAGTTGAATAAGCAACCATTTTTGGAGAAATAATCTATGGATGAGATTTGCAGATCGATCAACTCATTCTATCTTACGGAGGCCTTCGTGGTGCGATCGCTTTCGGTCTGGCGATTTCAATTCCATCAACAATTATGGCGAGGCAGATGTTCATCACCACAACGATAGTCGTGATTTTCTTCACTGTATTCCTGCAGGTATGTAAGTACTGCATCGTCACGCGGATACTCCAATTCGAGCTGAAGCAGCAT